ACAACACCATGGTATTACTCTAATGGATGCTATTTCTAAACTGAACAAGCCAAGCTTTCTTTTTTCCCTTATGCTTCAGTTAAATTTGTTTTCATATTATTTTTCTGGATCCTCCGATTAAGCCCATGTCAGACTCTTTTTACTTTATTACTTTTCTGGATCCTCTGATTTTTTATTTTATTATTTTTCTGGACCCTCCAATTATTTATTATTTTTCTGGATCTTCCGATTTTTAATTAATTATTTATTATTTTTCTGGATCCTCCTATTATTTTTTTATTTATTATTTATTTATTATTTTTCTGGATCCTCCGATTAAGCACATGCCAGACTAAGGGTTCCAAATTTTGGCTGTGTATCTAAATTCATGGCACTTTATTTTAATTTAATTTAATTAATTAATTTTGAGACAGGGTCTTACTCTGTCACCCAGCCTGGAGTGCAGTGGCACAGTGGCACAAAACTCCAGCCTGGAGTGCAGTGGCTCACTGCAACTTCCACCTCCTGGGTTCAAGCAATCCTCCCACCTCAGCCTCCTGAGTAGCTGGGACTACAGGCGTGGACTCCCATGCCCACCTTTTTTTTTTTTTTTCCTTGGTGGAGACAGGGTTTCATCATCTTGCCCAGGCTGGTGTCAAAATCCTGGGCTCAAGTGATCCTTCTGCCTCGGCCTCCCAAAGTGCTGGGATCATAGGTGTGAGCCACCATGCCCAGCCCTCATGGCACTTTAAAGAAAGTACACATTTCAGGCCAGGCGCGGTGGCTCACACCTGTAATCCCAGCACTTCGGGAGGCCCAGGCAGGTGCTCACTTGAGGTCAGAAGTTCGAGACCAGCCTGGCCAACGTGGTGAAACCCCGTCTCTACTAAAAATACAAAAATTAGCCAGGTGTGGTGGCGGGCACCTGTAATCCCAGCTACTTCGGAGGCTGAGGCAGGAGAATTGCTTGAACCTGGGAGGCGGAGGTTGCAATGGATCGAGATCATGCCACTGCACTGCAGCCTAGGCGACAAGAGTGAGACTCCGTCTCAAAAAAAAAAAAAAAGAAAGAAAGAAAGAAAAATACACACTCTGGATTCTATCCCTTGAGCTGGGATTGAGCCTGGGCATCCACATTTTTCAAAGCTCCCCCACATGATTTCAGTGTTAAGAGCTGAGACTCATGGAATGTTGGACCAAAGAACCAAGAGACCCACATTCTGGTTCCTGACTTTTCTACACACTAGCCTCTCTGGGGCTGTTTCCCATTCTGTAAAATGGAGAGATAGGAGCCCTGTCCTACTTCTGTGAGTTTAAAGCATGAGAACTTGTGTGAAAGAATTTTGACAAGGAACTAGTGTATTTATGGTGGGAGGGATCTGCTGACCGGCAGTCAGACACCACTTGCAAACAGGCCTGGGATCTGGTCACTTGGTGACATTTCCACTGGGTTCTCATGGTCTGCTTGCCTCCATCACACTATGCTAAAAATGGGTAGAGAGTGGGTGGAGCTCGGAATACTTTAACTCCAGTGTAATGGTGTGGGCAGCTTCCACTTAGTTAGGTAATTCTGGACAAATGGAAGCTTGTCTGCATGCAGCTATATTTATTTCCAAAATAACTGGTGAGATTCCCCCACGAATTTGAGAACATTCATTTCTGTTTTACCTGTTTTGAGACCTTTAGACCATGAGATTAGAAAGCCCCAGGCATGATCAGGAGGCAGAAGTACACAGGTCATCTATTCCCAACCTCAGAGCTAATGCTCAGGGTAAATCCACAGCCATTTGATGTAGGGACATTTTAATTTGGGAAATCAAATGCAGGAACGATATTACCTTACTGTTAATTTCAAGCATCTCACACACACCATTAAATGCCCCAAACCTGGCTACTATTGAAACTTAACCACATACAAATTCCATATTTACCCAAATACTCCAACATGCTAAGAGTCCTTTCTTTTGAAACGTCCTGGTTTAACTGATCTGACAAACAGATCCTTCATTTCTGTTCATTCTATTTTGTTCATTCAATGTATCACAAGTTGACCATAGCAAGACGAGAAATGCATTAAGGATCATGATTTTGCAAAGCATTAATAAGGATACTGGGACAAGGAAGATAAGCTTCTGATGGCCTTGACACAACTATTTCAAGCTTCTCCATTTCAAACTGACTTCTGCACAAGGGCACCACATCTAAAGGACCATCATTGATAGTAAACAGTTAGTTTGTATATTTATTATGACAGTTTTCTGGCAGATGATAGTCATGTGTCTTATTCTAATAAATCAGCCCATGATAACATTTTCCAACAGAAGTAAGCCAAATGTCTTGAAGAAGGGGTGGGAGTGCGCCTTTTGTAATTCACACACAGGTGCAGTTTGGGCTGCATGCAGCCCAGTTCTGGTTCCTGTCCACTGATCTCTTCCCTGGTCATCCCTGATCTAGGGACAAGTCTTCCGTCAAGGAGGGGCTGAGTGAGCTGCAGCCAGGCTTGCCCTCTCCGCCCTCTCCAGGGCAGGCTCCCTGTGGTCTGCCGGCCACAGCATAAAAGTGGAAGTAGCAGTCTGGCTTCTTACTGGTCAGTTTGGGGCGAGGAGCTTTTTTTTTTTGGAGATGGAGTCTCACTCTGTTGCCCAGGCTGGAGTGCAGTGGTGCAATCTCGGCTCACTGCATCCTCCACCTCCCAGGTTCAAGTGATTCTCATGCCTCAGCCTCAGGAGTAGCTGGGATTACAGACACCCACCACCACACCTGGCTAATTTTTGTGTTTTTAGTAGAGATGGGATTTCACCATGTTGGCCAGGCTTGTCTGGAACTTCTGACCTCAAGTGATCCACCCACCTTGGCCTCCCAAAGTGCTGGGATTACAGTCATGGGCCACCACACCTGACAGGAGCGTTCTTTTTTCTACATTACACTTCGAGAACAAAACAATTCCCCTCCCCTGTCTCTCTGTCTTCCTTCCCTGAGCTCTGTTTATGTTGTCCCTACTCATCCCAGCACATCCACTGTGGAGCTGGAGCTCTTGCTTCATTTTTCCCTTTTCTGCACTTCAGGTCTTAACTTTAAAAACATCTGGGCTATTCCTATACCCGGCCCTGGGTGTCTGAACCTGTTCAGGGAGGTTAGGGTACTGTTGATTGCCCCGAACTCTGAGGTTTGGGCATGTACTTCCTGCCATCCCAGAAGTTTCAAAAAAAAAAAAAAAAAAGAAGTGTTTCTTAGTAAAAGGGCAGTGAATTCTCAAATTCTCTATTTTCCCTTCCTCCACTTTCATATCCCAGCTACTCTCAGGGTAACTTTACCCTCCTTCCTCACCCCTGTCTCTGTCAGCCTGATGAAACTCAGGAAGTGTACAGTGATGTAGGGGTGACTGAACACGCTCTGGAGATGCGACACACAAACTTCAGGATCCTGGAGGAAGCTATCAGAGGATCCAGTGTTAAATTACAAAGTTTGGAGCAGGGTCAGTTTTCCAAGTGCTGGTGTGTTTTCAAAAGGCAAGTATGTTGCAGACCAAGAAGATGCCATGCTGCCTGGAAGTGACCTTGGGTATAATGGGAACCCTGATACATTCATTTATTCTAGTTGTTTACAACAGGTATACTTTTATGCATTCATTTTTTACAAAAGGTACAGTTTCCTTTCATTCACTAAGCATTTGGTATGTACCAGGCAATTTGCTAGGAGTTGAGAATAATCAGTAAGCACAACCAGCCTTTGTGGAGTGAACAGGCTAGTGGTGGAGACATTCACTAGCTAGATAAGCAATTGCTATGCAATTACACAGTGCTAAGTGTTCTAAAGAGAAACACTGTGTGGAAAGAGGGAATAATATAGGGGACGCGACTTTCGACTGTGAGTGACAGAAAGCATGTCTGAGCTGGGCTTTTAAGCTGAGACCTGCAGGATGAGAGGGAGCCCACCACGGGAGCCGGCCTGCGGAAGGTTGCGCCAGGCAGCAGCAACAGTCATACAAAGATTAAGACTTGAAAACTCTAGAACATAAGTTTCGACCCTTCTCCTTTTTCCCAGCTCCTAAGGTTTCGCTTCATCCTGGCTCCTTTGTTATTTCCACTAGTAAAGTACGAGAAGCACTCAGCACCACGCCTGGCATAACTAACACTTCCCATGTGCCAGGTGGTACTGGAAGTGTGTTGTGTGCATTAACTCATTTAATCCTCGTGACCACCCAAGGATGGAGGGTCTATTCATGTCCCTATTTAACAGATGAAGAAACTGCACGAGTCACTATGCAATAATGGTCACGATTATCATTGGAATTAGTAATTTCATCAGTAATAGCATAGTGAACATTTTCAGGCTTCTGGCAGACTTAATTTTGTTTTATTTCTCACCTTTTCACTGCTCATTGAGAGTCTCTTCACTAGACTTCTTCTGTGTAATTTGCAAATTTTAAAAGCTTATTTCTTTTAAAAAATCCATTATTCATGTTATTGGTGGAAAACTTTTTTTAACACTGCTGGTCAGGCTTTATAGAAAAATCACTTTCTGTATCCCCCCTCATCAGCAATGCTTCTCTGAATTCCCTTCAATTTAGCAAAGGTTTATTGAGAACCTACTAATTGCCTGGCATGACCCTGGAGATGCCAGCTCCAAAAATTTAAAATCAAGGAAAAAACCACACGAATAGCTGTAATAGAATAGGATATAGGCTCTGCTTGTCTTATAATCAAAATACAAATGCAAGTGATTGGGAAAAAATATGATCTAGAGTCAAGTAGACAGCTACCCAGAAGGTATTCTTAGCCTTACTTTTGTTGTTGTTGTTGTTTTTTAAATAATAAGTATGTAACTGGTCAAAAGCCTTTTCAATGTGAAGATGGAATAGTTCCATATTTTAGAATGTGTTGCCCTCATAAATTTGGTCTGATAATTGTTTTGTTTTGTTTTCTCCAAATCCCCTGGTTTTTTCACCAATGACCTACTGTTTAGATGTAGATTTTTCTATTGTCAAATGAATTTTACCTTTTTTTTCTTTTAATTTACAGGTATGAAAGCTAATCTTTGAAGACACACTTAATCAGTGAAATGGTGATTGTTGAAGGAGAATTGTTGCCTGATGCGCTAATTTCTAAGTTGAAAAGGAACATCATTTTTGCAATGATAAAATAGTGATCTGTCCTTCCACACGGTGTTAAGACACTTCCCACAACTCCTCCACCCTTCTCATTTAGGTAAGTACTAAAATAAACAGGAAAAGGGAACTGTACCTCTTACCCTATGCAACTGGCCCAGTGAATTGATTTCAACTTTGCATTTGTGAGAAAAAAAAAAGACAACTTCCTTATTTGTATTTTAGTGGGCACAAAATTCCCCTTCCAGAGAGGCCTGTCTTTATCCTTCAGCCATTTTCAAAGAGCACTTTCATGCAAACAAGCAAACAGCTTCTCTAGGCGGGGAGTTTGCATTTCCTCTTCCTGAACCGTCTCCTATATCCGAACTGCCCACATCTTATGGGGCAAGAACATCACAAGAGGATATAAAGGATCCAGCAAGCTACTAACTCAGCAGAAAACACAGTAACTCCAGTCTTAGAGAAGCACATGCTAAGGAGAGTTCACGGCAATGAATTCAATAAAGGTCTTTTCCAACCAGCAGCCTGATAAGACCTTTTCGCTCTTCTTGTTGTTGAACCTATCTTCTAAAAACACATTTTTTTAAAGTGCATGATATAAATTGCGATTTAATTGCTTGAATAAGTGGGACATGACCTCCTAGAGCTGTGTGCATCAATGTCAAGAAAACACGTGGGGGCCCTAGTTCTCAACATGGTTGCCATGTGGTAGAGAGGCCTCATAACAGCAGTTTCTAACCTGGTCTGTGAACTTGGATGGCAAAATAAAATGACATCTTTATTTTCTCCTACCTCCAACTGAAATTTAACAATCCCTGCAATTACAAATGTAGGCAACAAACTAGAATAGCATTGGTAGCACATGTGATTTTTGTCACCAAGAGAAATCACAGATCTTTTCAAATTGCGTGACAATTGTTGCAGCTATTTTGATTTATACTTATTATTACTTCAGATAATGATTAAATATTAGAGGTGTCACTAGTTTTTGTTATTTAAACCGTTATTAAATAACGCTTTACCATGCCATATTTTAAAAATTATTTTGTAGCTGTATTTCAATATAGTTGACGGCTTTTGTAATTCTATGTATTATATTTTTATGCATTTTAAAACATTCTGAGGAAAGTCCATAGATTTTGCCACACTGTCAAAGGGGTTCATGCCCCCCGCCGCCATGTTAAGTATGCCTTAGGAGACTCTCAGTATTGACCCACTGCAAGCACAGTTTCCATGCAGTGAAGGGCCTCGAAAATGATCCATTTAGTGCATTTCACTGTGCCTTTCACACGGTTTTAGTTACCTCTTTTCCAATAACACATCTTATCAAAAACCTCAAATGCAGTACAATTGTAAAATATGGGATCATTTGATCTTCAAATCGCTGGTTAAAACTGCATCGGCTTTCAGCTATTCAAGAGCTGACTATCTAAGCTGTGAATTATCAAGGTCCCCTTTTCTCCCTGGTTTCCTCTTTGGCTGTTTACCATGTGATTCTTTTACTACTGGGTCACAGGTGCACTGACAGATAGGCAGGGCTCCCCGAGGAAATGACATTCAAATCTGACAATTTTCCTACATCACTAAGAAGTTGTGGACGGGTGGTGGTTGAAAGTGTTGATTAAATTAAGGCTTGGAATTACCTGTGGATTTTAATTACCATTCTACCACTGTCCCAGTGTCCTCTGTCTCCCCACCGCCATGCTCTCCTGTGGCTCTAATGAGACACTTATCAGATGCTATTTTTGTTTGTTAGTTATCTTTGCTCTGCATACGGTCTTCCCACGGAACCTGTGTTCTCCTTCTCTTGTGTTGCCCCTGGTGCTTGGCAGACAATAGATCATCCATAAATAGGTGTGGCTGAACTGAATCACTGTCTATGGTACATATCCAGTGGTCCTTCATGGTTGAAGATGCCAGTGCTAACATGATTATTTTCTATTTTGGATTTCTTATGTCTATTTGGATTTTGTTATGCAACATCTCTTCTACAAATGCTGAACACTATGCACCAGGCATCACACTAGATATTAGAGACAAAGATGAATATAATATGAACTTCCTTCAAGGAGTTCTGAGGTCACAGGGACACTAGACAAATACATACCGCAATGGAGTGTAACAAGAGTAAGTGCAGGCATAAGGACTAGGTATGTTGGTGACACCCAGAAAGGGTTGGTCATTTCTGGTGAATGAGAGCGAGAGTCAGAGACGATGCTGGAGTGGGAACCCAAAGCATGGGTTGGATTTAGGCAATGGCAAGAGGGACAGGGAGAATTCCAGCATCAGAGAACTGTGACTCTTTCAGGATGGAGCAATCGCAAGTACTCTTTACGTACCGGACACTCATTTCTTCTCTGCTAAGAGAACCCTAGTTTTGTATCTGGAATAATCTTAAGGAAGGTAAGTTCCTCCTCCAGACTTGGGCTCATGAGCCAATCATGAGCCAATTATGGTCATTATTTTTCTCTTCACCAGACGTTGGTATCATGTGGGCATGTAACCACATTCTGGTCAATGACATCTAAGGGGAAGTCTGCTCAGGTATTTCTGTTTGGGCAAAAAAAGACAGAGTCTTGCTAGGAGAAAGTAGCCTTCCCCTCATTTTGAAAATAAATACAGTGTTTACAGTTGTGGCAGCTATCTTGTGACAGCAGAAGGATATTAAGAGCCTGGAGGGGTTCTTTGATAGTAACACTGAATAGCAACCAATACTAGCAACTGGGCTCCTTCTTGTGCAAGGAAAAATTAACCTCTACTTGCCTATGCTCTAAGTAATTAGGATTTTTTCCCCTTATAGCTAAACACATCATAACCGATGTACACAGCCTCTGAAAACTATTTTGCACAGGTCTCCCCAATGGGTGTCAATGGGGTCATGACTAATAGCCCCTGAGTTTTTCTGCCTGATTATCCCTAGCTTGCATAACTCTAGGACTCAATCTCTTCCTCCTTCAATCTCTCAAGTCATTTTGGGGAGTCCCCAGGGGAATATCTCTGAGAATGTAACTTCTTCCCTGATTCTCTCTATCCTCCCTTTGATGCAAGGAGAGTAAGAAAGCCCTTCTCTCTGACTCTGTGTTTCACTCTGTCACTAGACCCCAAGGTGAATGGTCTAGTTCCATTCATGGAAGGGGACCCCAAGGTAAATGCCCTGAATGTCATCAACTTTTGGTCAACGTATACATTCTAGCCCTGAGTACCTCTGCTCTCTATTAAGGAATGTCTGAGGAATAGGACGCATACTAATTTCATCTACTTTCCTTTCTGTCTTTCCACAGAAGGCTAGCATCAACCTCTTCCTTTAGACAGACCAAAACAGCAACAAACATCTGCAGGCTTATCAGCCTGTGCCAACAGATGCCCCAGAGTTCAGATTAGCTGGCCCCATGCAGCTACTCTTCACCTAGCTCAGCCCAGAGCCCAGTCACATGTGCACCTGAAGGAATGGAGGACATAATATTGCAAAAAGGGTCAGGCAGGGACCTCATATATCAAGCTAAAAAATATAAGCTGTATCCTCTAAGTCAGGGCTTCCCAAGAAGTGTTCCACGGAGTGTATGGAGATACTACCCTGCACTCTCAGCCCTTGGGACTGCTGGGTGGAACCTGACAGAGGGAGCTCCTAGGCTGGTCACCTCCAGCAGCCAGTGCCCTTGTTTGGCAGAGGAAGGTGTTGCCAAGAAGACTGGGGCCCAGACCGGGCGCAGTGGCTCACGCCTGTAATCCCAGCAATTTGGGAGGCTGAGGCGGGTGGATCACGAGGTCGGGAGATCAAGACCACCCTGGCTAACACAGTGAAACTCTGTCTCTACTAAAAATACAAAAAATTAGCCAGGCGTATTTTTTGTAGTCCCAGCTACTCGGTAGTCCCAGCTACTCAGGAGGCTGAGGCAGGAGAATGGCGGGAACCCGGGAGGCGGAGCTTGCAGTGAGCTGAGAATAGGCCACCGCACTCCAACCTGGGCAACAGGGCGCAACTCCGTCTCAAACAAAAAAACAAAAACAAAAACCAAAAAAAACCAAAATAAAACAAAAAAAGAGTGGGGCCCAATGAAGCCATGGTATAAAACAATTGGGAAACAATGGGGAGTCATTGAAGGATTTTTAACAGGAAATAATCCCATCAGCTTTCCATTTTGGAAGACAATGAAAGCACAATGCGAAGGCTGGGTTGGAGGAGGTGGGCAATGAACCTGGGACCAGGACCACCAGTCTCACATAAAATAGCCTAGTGATGAAATGATGAGAGGGCAAGCTAAGGAGTAGGAAGGAGACAGCAGAAAGGATCTGGGAAATAAGAAATCTTATGACGAGAAATCAAGCCCATGATACAAATCAGCGGGCTTGCTGGTTGATTAAATATAGAAGGTGAGGGAAGTATCTAGGATGGCTTCCACCTTCTGATTTGAGAACCTGGATGGGCAGTGGTGTCCCCCAATGAGACTAGGAACATGTGGGGAAAAGGTATGGGAGATAATTGACTTGACTTGAAGTATGTATGGAATGTCCAAGGGAAATGGCCAGTAGGCATTTAGACATATAGATCTAAAATTCAAGGCCTAAAGTTCAGAGATCAAGAGACAACTTTTGTGTAGATATTTTAGAGTCATCACTAGGTAAGTAATGATGGAAGTCCATGTGCATTGATGATGATGACCAGGTAGAATACTGCAGGAATGAGAGGGTGCCAAAGACAGAAGAAGGGATTGATGTCAAAAGACCAAGAGTGAGTTGAGGACTCAGGAGAGCCTCAACAGTCAGTCTCTGTCTCTCTCTCTCTCTCTCTCTCTCTCTCTCTCTATCTATCTATCTATCTCTCTGTCTCTTTCACTCTCTCTCTCTCATATCTCTCTCTCTATCTCTATCTCTATCTCTATCTCTATCTCTATCTCATCTCTGACTTCCTACAGGACTTTTCTGCTAGGCAGAGAGCAAAGCCACTGCTAGCCCCAGATTAGCCACCTCCATAAAAAACCTCTTTTCTCCCACCATCCCTATAACAACTCCTGGAAAGAACTCTGGTTGACTTTGCTAGAATCACGTGACCCATGCTTAGGCTAAACCTAAGGAGCACTTGGATTGGCCAGACCCATGTCATATGCCCCCGTATGGCTGGAAGGAGGGTACAGCCTCTTTATGAAAAGAACAGGGATGGTAAACCTTTCTGGGCAGATAAAAATAGTTAT